GATGAATGGAGGTTCGCCCTCCTCCTCCTTTTATAGCCTTAAAGAGAACTTCTAATCTCATTAGGAGTTTCCTAATCCAAATCTGTATTTGGATAATGATTTCTCTTTAAGAGATAAGGATAAACCCTTATCTTATATGTAGATTAGATCAGCCCTCCTAATCTTATTAAGAGTTTCCAAATCCAAATCTGCATTTGGATCTGGACTCTTTGATTGGATAGGGATAAATCCTATCTGTTGATCCAAATCCCAGATCCGCCCCCTTCTTTAACTTATCAAATTAGACCAGTTCGATTTGGGCTTTAGGCCCATTAAGTCCATGTGCTCACTAACCTTCCAGACTACTGCTCAGTTGGGTTTCCTTGTATGACGTGAGTCCCAAACATTGATCTACACATCAGCCACATGGGTTCAGCCTAGCTTCTATTACAAGGCCTGGCCGAATTCATTGTTATGGACAGTGAACCCCTGATCCCATCACCATGGGCTGTTGATGGGCCCAACACTTATAATAAGTGGTCCTTGGGCCAAGCCACCTTATAAAAACCCAGGGACTGTGGGCAGATGCAAGATTAGCCCATCAGGTACTACCCTCAATGGTTTTATACTTAACCTCTCAGCCCATAATGATCAAACACTGCCTGACAAGAGAGGACTTCTCCCTCGGTTGCAAGGAACAGTGCTGCACTCTCTACTCACATGGATCTCGAGAATTAAAACCTTTTGCAAACATTTTGAAACCATAATATATACGTATATCTTTATATAAATATATTTTGCAAAACAAATTTCAACGATTGAAATCAGCTGCCGACAGCTTTGGCTTCCATCAGAGAGAGTGCATCTCTAATCATTACCTTTGTCCGACAAAGGGGCTGATCCTGCCACTATGATCACCCACTCAGATGAATTCTCAGACTGTCCCAACATACCCAGGTTTTGACCCTTTCTAAGGATCTCACTGATTGGCATATCAAAGACAACCCAATCCGATACCTAGTGCAGTATCATAATCGAGTCTAGGGGTCAGGTGTAACATTCCAGTTTTGCCTACTAATCACCAAGGTCCAGGGCAATACTAGAATTCTGGTCCGGTTCAGGGTTTCAAGTAAAACCTACAGTACATGTACCTCGGGTCTCACCCTGGTAGCTGAGACAGGCTACCCCAACAAACTTGGCGGCACATCAGTGTTAGCCTTATTAGGATAAATCTCCCCAGATCTGTCCAATTGCTGTGAACATTCTAAACTAACACGAGTCTCATATCTGTCCAGTTTAAGGGTATTACATAGAAACACACCATAATAACATGAATCAAATATGTAATTTATTCATTTACAATAAATGGCATAAGGTACATCATTCTGATTGGAGCTAAAGGCATACACTATCTAACAAGGTTAGCCCATCAGGTATAACCCTCAATGGTCTTACACTTAACCTCTCAGCCCTTAATGATCAAACATTGCCTGACAAGAGAGGACCTCTCCTTCGGCAACAAGGTACAGTGCTGCACTCTTTACTTACATGGATCTTGGGAATTAAAACATTTTGCAAACATTTTGAAACAATAATATATATAAGTATATCTCTATATAAATATATTTTGCAAAACTAAATTTCAAAAACATTTGAAATCCACTACCGGTAGTTTAGGTTTCCATCAGAGAGAGTGCATTTTCTCGATCATTCACTTTGTCCGACAAAGGGGCTGATCCTGTCGCTATGATCACCCACTCAGATGAATTCTCGGACTGTCCCAACATACCAAGGTTTTGACCTCATCTAAGGATCTCACTGATTGGCACATCAAAGATAGTCCAATCCAACACCCAGTGTAGTATCATAATCGAGTCTAGGGGTTAGGTGTAACATTCCAGTTTTGCCCATCTATCTCCAAGGTCTAGGGCGATACTGGAATTTTGGTCTGGTTCAGGGTTTCGAAAAAACCAACACTACATGTACCTTAGGTCTCACATTGGCAACTGAGACAAGCCACCCAACCAACTTGGCGGTACATCAGTGTCAGCCTTGGCAGGATAAATCTCCCAATATCTATCCAACGGCTGTGAAGATTCTAAACTAACACGAGTCTCATATGTATCCCGTTTAAGGGTATTACATAGAAACACACCATAATAACATGAATCAAATATGTACTTTATTCGTTTACAATAAATGTCATAATATACATCATGCTGATTGGAACTAAGGGCATATACTGTCTAACAAAGGCAATCATCAAAAGATGTCAAAAAAAAAAACAAAAAAGAAAAAGATAAGTATATTAATCACGGTATGAACATTAAATTCCAAAATTTATGTTTTTAGTATATACTTCACAATAACCAAATAGGCTTTCTTTTCGTTGTAAACTGAATACCATGCAAATGACATAGATGTAGGGGGTGTTTATAAAGAATGGAAAAAACCAATATTATAAATATGTTATTATATGTTTCTTTATAATATATATTATAAATATAAAAAACCAAAAAATTAAAGAACCAAATTAATGAAAAACTAAAATCAGTCAATCGGTTAACCAATGATATTAGTTGTGTTTTGGTTTGGAGAATTACAAAAACTAGTAGCATCAGTTCAATTTAAAAATAACCCATAATTTTGTTAACCAAACCATAAAACACAAATAATATCTACTTGGCCTGAACCAATCCAATCAATTTATTGTGGAATCAAAGGAGAGGGTCAGTTTTAACATTATAACTGATTAATTGATGATGCACGATTCGGTACTCCCTACTAGCGGATAGTTCGGACGTTGGACTAAGTAGGTTGCCAGGTAGAGTTGCAAGAGAGAGAAAAAAATCAGAGTATTCGGGTTGTTTTACCCGGGGTGGGCACTTCGATGCTTAAGTTAGCGAATTGGAGATGTGATTGCAAGAGTGCAAGAGAGTTAGAATGCTTGAGAGTTAAGTCGTGCATACCTTTTCTGAGGAAGTGCATTTGAAATCTCCAGCCTACCTGGTTCGGAAGTGGTTTCATGCCCGAATGTGGATTCTACGTAAATGGGTAGTGTTTATCCAATCACGCCCAAAGTGGGTAGGGTGATAACCGGCTCTTCCAACATGATATCGTGATCCAGACATATTAAGCAGACTGCTAGCCAAACTCAGGTCATATCAACAAAAGCGGGTTACCTCTCATGCCGACCTCTCTGACTTACTGAACTGGTTCTCAGTCCAGTCTGTCGAGATAGTGCCAAGGTTGTGAAGTAAATTCAAGGTGTCGGAGGCGCTTCCGTGACTTACTTGGGTGGTGCTAAGACATCATTTAACTGTATCGCAGTGCCACATGCCCTCATATCATTGGAGCGCCAAATCGCTTCATCAATAAGGAAACAAGAAAATCATTTTCGGTTAGCAATGAAATCTGCAAGCTGGTTGGCTACGTTCTATGCTCTATTATTAAATATTATGTACTCAATTATTTGAGAAGTGCTCCATGGAAAATTTTAATTACTTTCTTGTTTAAGACAATTCACCGTTCTGTTAATTTGAAATCTCCTTCTAGGGTATAATATTAATGGAGCAATTGAAGCTTGGGACTGATTCAATTGCATCTCTAGGCTCTAGCTGCACAAGCTTCGGCTATCTCTATAGAATTCCGCTGCCCTATCTTGTGACGGTTAATGTTGACAACGTTACCGTTGTCATCTCTGGCCACCAAATTGACTTTAATTTGATTGGTGGTTTTTTAATTTTTGGTGGTTGGTTGTCCGTTTAATATATCTGATTGAATGTTTTTATTTTACCTATTCAGATGGAGAGAGATAGGAAAATAATTTTTATATTTTTCAAATTTAATTGAAAAAAAAATCAATCAAAGAAATATATACAAAATAATTTTGTATTCTCCATAAATAAAATCATACAATTACGTAACTAGAATGGCTTCTAGTTACGTATACGCAAACTGTTTTTTCAGAATATGATGTCACATCAGTGCTATATCGACCATTCATTTTTTGAGAAAACGTCTTATTTGGTTGGTCATTTTTCCGAAAAATGTTTTCTTAGACCATGTCTTAAAAATGGAGAAAGGTGTGGTATGAGAATATATCCTTTTTGGTTCTTTTCCGTTTTTTTATTGATGCAAATAATGGTAATGCTGATGTGGTGTTGAAAAACACGTATGTGGCAACAATAACAATGGTACAAAATAGAAAACTTGAGAAAACGTTTTTGATTGTGTCAGGGCCTTAGGGGAGAGAACAGCCTCTTGCTACCTTGAATTAGAAATATCTCTTCATGAAATAAAGCACATAAATATAAGATATTCCACTGTAAAGGATGTTGGAATAGACGTTGCACTAATCGAAGCCAAACTCATTAGGGGTAGGGGTGCTCACTGTTTGGTTAACCAAACCGGTAACTGAAACTAAATCGAAGCTGATCGGTTAAGTGATTGATCGGTTAGGGGTGACCAGTTCATTGGTTTTTTGGTTTTTATATATTTATAATATATATTATAAAAAAAACATATAAATATATAAAATATTATATTTAAATAATAAATAATATATTATATATTTATATAATGCATATTTATTAATTTATAATATATAAAAAATAATATATATATATATATATATATATATATATATAATCATACTGGTTGACTTGATTAACCACCAATTTTCTATATTAATTAACTGAAATCAAACCGCTACCTTAAATTTTTTAAAAATACCAAACGGATCAATTCAGTTAACCGGATTTTCGATTTTTCTTGCTCACCCCTAAGTGAGTCCGGACTCCGGATCAATTCCCAACAGCCATGCATCGAGAACATCTCGCAATGAAAGAAAAAGGAGATGTTCCCACCGCACGGTTGCAAAGGCTGTTGGGATCTAGTTAGGGGTTGGGTAACCAATAATAATTTCCCACGTCAGTCATCCCTTTCAGCTAAGCTAATCAGTGAGGTCAGCGCTCAAGTCAACAATGTAAACTCAACTCGAAAAATCTTTTCTGGTAAAAATGTCTCAAATGATCGCTTCTCATCTGCTAGAACTTATCATTTCTATGTGACATGAATTCTCTGGCTCCCGAGACGGAATCGGTCCTCACTAGTTACTGCTGTGGAGGGAGCGAGGGAGGAAGGGAACCCACCCAATCCACCACCAGTTCTATGGGGAAGCCTCAAAGCCATAGAATCCTCCTCCTCCTCCTCCTCTGTTTCTCTCTTTTCTTTCATCTCTCGTCGTCTTATACTCTTCCTACGGAATACTTCATCAACTGTGGATCACACGCCGACGTTTTTGACGTTGAAACCCGGAGATTCGTCGGGGACAAGAATTCCAATTCATTCACTCTGCTAGCAACTTCAGATAACGTGGTCGGTGTTGACAACTCTCCACCAGATCTTTACAGTACTGCAAGAATATTCAGAAAGCCTTCGGCGTATGAATTCAATATTGATGGCAACCGTACTCATGTGGTACGCCTCCACTTCTCCCCTTTCACCTCCCAAAATCCGAATTACAATTCTACTTCAGCCGTGTTCAATGTTTCAGTTGCTGGGTTTTCTCTGTTGACAAAATTTGGAGTCAACGATAGTACTACCGAACCTCTAATAAAGGAGTTCTTGCTCAGTATCAACAGCACAAAATTCCAAATCATCTTCAAGCCTGAAGCTTCTTTTGCCTTTGTTAATGCCATAGAGGTCTTCCTTGCGCCCGACATTCTGATCCCCAACAAAGGTCCCCTTTATATCAATTCCACAGGAAGCAGCAAGGCTTACAACGGTCTTCCATCAAAGGTTTTGGAAACAATTTACAGGATCAATGTTGGAGGTTCCAAGATAACACCTACTAACGACACCCTCTGGAGAACTTGGATTCCAGATGTCAGTGACAATCACAGTTATCTGGTTAACCCAAACCCAGAAGCTACAAATACCCCTCCCAGTAAGTCACCAAAGTACCAAGAAGGTGATATGGAATATGTTGCTCCACACTCGGTTTACTCGACTGCACGACAACCGAAAAATAACAATTCCAACATAACTTGGAGCTTCAGTGTGAGTCCTAATGCCAAGCATCTAGTTCGTTTGCATTTCTGCGACATCGTTAGTGAATCTACGTTTCTGCTATCCTTCTATGCATATATCAATACCTATTATGGGTATATTGTTAATGATACCACTGCAGGGTTGTTGGTTCCTAATCACACCGACTTCGTGGTGGACTCTGGTGATTCGGGCACTATTAAGATCATTGTAGGTCCAGATTCATCATCTGCAATCAAAACTGTTTTTCTAAACGGGTTGGAGATCATGGAGATTACAAATAATAGGGATACATCTTTCTTGCACGGGTTTGGGAAGAAAAACCATGTCGTTATTGTGGTGGCTTCAGTTGTTGGAGGCATTGCCGTTATTGGCGTACTGGTAGTTGCCGTCTTCATCTTCATCTTCAGATGCCGGAGGCAGAAGACGCCCAGTGATTCCAAGACATGGCCACCCTTGTCTCTATGTGAAGGGAGTTCATACACAGATATGAATGGAGGGAGTACAAACGGCTCCCCATTTCCGAACTTAGATCTCAGTTTAAAGATCCCTTTTACTGATATACTGTTTGCGACCAACAATTTCAGTAAGGTTTTTCTCATTGGTTCTGGTGGATTTGGTAAAGTGTACAGAGGGATTCTAAGGGACAATACAAAAGTCGCAGTAAAACGAAGCCAGCAGGATGCGGGACAGGGCTTTCTTGAATTCCAGACAGAGATCATGGTATTATCTAGAATCCGTCATCGTCATCTTGTTTCCTTAGTTGGGTACTGCGACGAACACTCGGAAATGATTCTGGTATATGAGTTCATGGAAAGAGGGACACTGAGAGACCATCTTTATGGTTCAGAGCTGCCCTGCTTGTCTTGGAAGCAGAGACTTGAGATATGCATTGGTTCTGCAAGGGGTCTCCACTACCTCCACACTGGTGCAGCAGGGAAGATCATTCACCGAGATGTTAAGTCCACAAACATCTTGCTCGATGGGAATTTTGTTGCCAAGGTTGCTGATTTTGGTCTTTCTAAGGCTGGGCCTGGCATGGATGAGACCCATGTAAGCACAGCCGTGAAGGGAAGCTTTGGCTACCTTGACCCTGAGTATTTTAAGCGTCAACAGTTGACAGATAAGTCAGATGTGTATTCATTTGGGGTGGTCCTTCTGGAAGTGATTTGTGCAAGACCGGCCATCAATCCTACACTCCCAAGAGAGCAGGTGAACTTGGCTCAATGGGGGATGAATTGTCTGAAGAAGGGGTCATTTGAGCAGATTATTGATCCTTTCCTGGTGGGTAAGATCAGTCCCRACTCTCTGAGGAAGTTTGGAGATATTGTTCAGAAATGTTTGAGTGAGTATGGTTTTGATAGGCCAACCATGGGTGATGTGTTGTGGGATTTGGAATACGCACTAAAACTTCAACAGACTGCAGTGCACAGGGAACCGCATGAGGATAGCATCATCTGTGCATCAGAGCATCCATTGCCTACTGTTCAGCGTGTTCCTTCAATAAACGTGGTAATTGAAAGAGACGGTGTAGTACCCAAATATGATATTAGTTCAGATGTATCGGAAAGCCAAGTATTTTCCCAGTTGACTATTGGCGAAGGAAGGTAGTTCCTTTGAAGGTGCCTGTTATTGTAGGTCTGTGAGTTTTAATGTTTGTTAATTTCTCCAAAATGCATAACAAGACTAAACCGCTTCCGTAAGGAAGACTTGTTTTGCTTTACTTCCAAGGTGAGTCTAGATGTCTCAACATTGATCATGTCAGTATGGTTTACTGCGTTTCTGATCTGTTTTATTTGTTAAAGTTAGTTGTATACTTTCAAAGAAGCATTAGTTTCAAGATATTAGAACTTATTTCCTTCTTTCCCACTACAGTCAGAAAGATGCGAATCAAAATGTAGAACTCAATATGAGAATATGTATTTAAATGAGTGTTTATGTGTACATGTAAGAGCTAGACAGTATCATCCTTCAAGTTCACTGTTGGAACTCTTCTTGAAGATCCTACTATTCAGAAATAACTACTACTCACTACACAACAGGGTGAAGTGATCCTCCTAAAGAATTTTTTTTCTTTGTAGGCATTAGCCAATGCTGCTTTGGCTGCCCTGCCATTATACCTAGTTGATGGGGTTCTCAGATCTGCTACCCATAAGAACACTACCCAGTACCCACACCTACCCACTAGACACTGCAACCATACATTGGGAACATCTTCTGTACTTGTATGTTGTCATTCATGTGGAGATGCTCCCGATGTACGGTTGTAGTATCTTGTGGCTAGTATGGGAAGCAGATCCGGAGTCAGTTCATGGGCTGGTGGTATTGGTAAGGCAAAGATGGATGCAGGGTCCGCTGGGTTATACAGTAGGGGGAGCTTGCTTTTTTGCAGGTTAGACCTGTGTCTCCTCAATGAGAGGGATGCCAACTGACCACTGACACTGAGACTACGTGGTCGTTGGCCTCTTTATGGAACTTGGATGGGAACTTTTACTGGAATTTGGGAACAGTGATGGATGAAATGTTAACTTAATAGGGGAAGAATTTATTAATTGAATTCCTAATTCCCTTTCAATCGAAGAGGCTGGAGTAGAGAATTTTTCAGAAAGTCCTCTTCTTTTGATGGATGAATAACAACACTATTGGAAATTTTGGTTACATGCGTCCTATTGATGTTTTGAAACTCAAGTTTAATGGTGGCAGTGGATTGAATTTTGCTGGTCATAAGATTGTCACATAAAGTGACTGAATTTTCAACCTCCCTTTGTCTTTTTGCTTCTTGAATTTCCAATGCTACTTGAATTCTGCTGCAATGTCTGATAACTGATTACCTTTTTTTGTTGTCTTAACATGCCTCGTTTAATCTTGACCTGAGGAGATTGACTGAATCCTTTGATTAGGATCGGCTTAAAACTAGTCCACGACCTTACAATGGTCTGAAGCTCCCTAAACACATGAAAAATTTTTGCTGGCAGTATTCTCTTGCATATGCTGAACCCATTTGGGCTTGGACTGATTATTTGATCACTGCTCTCTGGAGAATGGACCTGTAAAGACTGGAGAAAACAGAGAACATAATGAAAAGAAAAGCAATGCTGACTATGAAATTACTTTTTCTTACCAGAAATCTGGAATATTTTGTTGAAGTGAAGTCTTGTTCCTGATTGTGTTGTATGATGCACTTGATCGGCATAAGAAACTTTACCACCAGCGCTCCTCTAACTCATGAATGAAACAAGAAACTTGGGCAATGTGGTTTCCATATCCACTGCCAAAAATGCCTTGCTTGCTGCTTTCGGTGCTGAATTTGCTAGCGCCTATCTCAATTCCTTGAACTGATACAATGAAAGATCCCTGGAAGATCTAGTGGAAAGAGAAAATTTGGTAATGTGATTCATATTATTAAGGAAACATCTAATTCTGTTCTAGAACACCTGGTCTGCAATAGAATTCTTAGCCTTAGGTATTTCAGCCATAATCAAACGGCCCTCAACTCAAGATCACCCTCTTGAGCTAACACAGCCATCAGTGAATCTTTCTCCAATATAACCTTCTCGGATTTCAGAGGTTCCTCCACTGTCACAACTGGTCAGAGAGATATGAGTTCTACTTCTACTGGTCCCAGTTTGATTAGTATTCCAAACCCTCTCCCGTCTCCCCCACCCCTCAAAGCTAAAAGAAAATGACGTTGATGTGAGCAAGCAATGGGTCAATGTGGGCTTACGAGGCCTTGACACAAGCACATTCTTTCTCGACTCTTGATTGCTTGAAGATTTGGAATTCTGCCTAATACAGAGTCCTGAACCAAATCCTATTTTTTTATTCAGGCAGATTCGATTCAAACGGATATCAGTTTACAACTCCCTTCGAATAATTTCATCAAGAAAACGGGGAGTAATGAACCAAGTCATGGACTGGGTACAATTGGTAGTAATCTTTGCCACCATGTGTGCTGCAACATTATAAGTCTAGGCTCAATTTGGAGGGAGTTCAAATTTGTATTTATGCATATTTGGGAAGACTGCAAATACAAATATGTACAGTGAAAATACAAGGCTTAAAAATACTATATACAAAGTTTTGCATTGGACATATTTGTATTAGCACTCTTCCCAAACTGAGCCTTAAGCTTTTGCTTGCTTGCACCGGTATAAACGTAAATGCACTGGAGTGCAAACAGACTGAGAGTAACATTCTGCTTTACTTTTGTTTCAGATTTGACTGTCTTCTTATTTGTTTGTGGGAAGTAAAATAAACATGAAAGGAAATGGAAGTAGGGTCATGCATGTTCTTTGTCTGGGAGTGAGACAGGAAACAAATGGTCACCACTTTATATGAGAGAATTGTAGGAGAATGTGGTACAAATTTTGCATTAGTTTTGGAGATGCAAAATTTGCATCACCAGTGAGTGCAAATGAGGCAAACAGCACAAATTTTATATCAGGTAGGAGTGCAATGCAAATCATGGTTACAAACAAATGAATTTAAAACTGAACTTTGAACTTGGTGGCAAAAAAAAAAGAAAGAAGAAAGAAGAAAGAAAAACTGAACTTGGTGCAAAATTTGTATCTAATTCAGATTTGCACTGCAAACAAAATGTTTGCACTGTGCATATTTGTATTCATATTCTTTCCAAATTGAGCCAAATACAAGGTTTAGAAATACAAATATGTATGGTACAAATACAAGGTTTTGCACTATACATATTTGTATTTGTTCTCTTTACAAACTGAGCCTATTGAGAAGAATAAGCTAATATGTATAGTGTGAACCCTTGTATTTGTACTTTAGGTTCCATTTGGAAGGGGTACAAATACAAATATGTAGAGCGTAAAACCTTATATTTTGTATGGATTTGTACTGTACATATTTGTATTTGTACTCCTTCCAAATAGAACCTTAAGAAAGGATACAAATACAAATATGTACAGTGCAAATACATATAAAATACAAGGTTTTTTATTCTACGTATTTGTATTTGTACTCCTTCCAAATAGGGACATAGGAAATAGTTGAGGTGCTATAAAATGCTTTTGCAATTTGCAATTAGGTTTCTAATATAATAGGGTGGTTCAATGTAATCCACCCAAAGAATATTTGTGATGATCCTTTTTTAAGTAAATTTATTTTTAAAAATAATTTAAATTTGGACTCAGTAACCAATGGGTTCCCCATCTCTAGGGATCGGGGAAGGAGAGCCATTTTTATTGCCAATGAGGATCGGGATCGGGGATGGGGAATACCATCCCTGCCCTGTTGCCATTCCTAATAAGGGGAGACATGATATTTCATATATAAACAATTGTATACATCAAAATTTATATAGAATAAAATTTTAAGCTTCTATTTTGTTTTCATTTTTATCTATTTTATAAAATTATTTTAAAACCTTCGTCATTCTTCAATTTTGTGTTTTTTTTTTTAAAAAAAAAATGCATCATACAGCCCAAGCCCAACCTGACATGACATGAGCCCACCTAAGCTCATCATGCCATGAGCTGTGTTGGACCTGACCTTTAAAGGGTTCTGGGCGAGGCAAGAACAGCCCACCCAGGCCCATGTGGTGGCATGGCACGGCACGGCCCACTAAAGCACGGGTGGCCCGCTAAATCATAACGTGCTCGAACCTACCATGTGTCCATAACTAAGCCACACGCCTCGGCCCTCAGCTCAATGGAAATTATTATTCATAACGTAAATATATTTCAGACTTTTAGCGGTGGTATCATGCCATTCCATTAAACCTATCATGTGTCCATCATTTGGGGCTTGGGGGTAACGAAAGAAAGCACTAAATTGAAAGTCTATACAAGTTGGTGGTAAGTTCCAGCACAGTATCATAAGACAAGTTCTTAACATGTTGAGATAGAAGATAAAAGAAATAGCAGAAAGTATAGCCAGTTGGCATAATTGAACCTTGATTAGTATCCCTCTTCCAGTGGTTCTTCGGGAAGAGCTTTGACCTAATTGGTTACCAAATACAACTTGATCAGTGGTTACCACTTTTTTGATAATTGAATTGATATCTGTTAATTGATCAATCGAAGGAAAAACAGAAGCATATAATTAATTTGTAAGTTCAAAAATTTCAAATATCCTCTTCTAGGCCCTAGAGTGGACAAATGGCTTACCTAGTAAAGAAACGGATCACGTGGAGGGAATTTTACTCAAGGGTCAAAATTCAAACTGGTGACCATTTTCTATTTTCCTTCATTCTTTTCCTGGATCTACCGTTAAAAGCACCACCTCTACTCCTTCTCTCTTATCAATACCCTTAACCTATGTCCTTTTGCATTTTTTACTCATTTTAATGGTTTCCCACGCAAGGTCAATCAATTAAGGGTGCGATCTCCAAAGTGAATTAATTTTATTGTTGTCAGTTCCAAAATCAAATCAAACCCATCTAAATAAAACATAAAATTGTTTCTCAAAACAAAAATAACTGAAGCATATTCTTGGTTGCATATATATATATATATATATATATATTTGAGTTTAAATTTGTTTTTATTTTAGAAAACATAATTTTGATGAAAGTAAAAAACATGATTTGTTTTTGGAAATAAAATCATCTTATTTTTACTTCTTAAAACAAAAAATAGTTTCCTGATGTAACAATATTGAAAGCAAGTAAAACTGTGGCAAATTAATTATAGGAGGTGTTTTAGTAATAGGAAAACTATAGCCTATATATAGGTTTGTTTTTTGGTAAATATATGTAATTACAAGGGATGTTTAAGTAAATGGCCCTATTTTTAATTCCATTTAAAACCTTAAGCAATCAAAGCATACAATCCTTTTCTTTCGATAAGATATATTATACCTCTTTTTGAATGAAACATGCTAATTAATTTATCTTCCTTAAATCCTGAAACGATTTCAGCCAGGAAAGAATATTTTACTAGGCTAGCTAACCTTCAGAAGCACTGAACTAATTTATCTTCTTTACATAAAGAAAACAGATTATTAATAAGGTG